GCTCTCGTTTATTTATGATGTTCATATTCCTCAAATAAATATCATATTTAACTAATTTGTTTAAGCGACATGTTCCTTTTAAAGATTTAGCTCTCCAGTGTAAATCCCTAAGACCCTTATTTATTATTCATTTCACAAAATAATTGCAAATATGAAACTTTTTTACCTCTTCTTGAACATTCTAATTTCATAGCCCTAAACTGGGTACCTGAAAGTATTTCATTGAATTTGTGTAAAAGATTTTACTACTTCCTAAAAGATTCCGTGTGATATTTGATAGCATAAAAAACAATGTGCCGATACAGGGTTTCGATTTATTTACGAAACTAATCTGACCTGTTGCTGCGTTCTTTGACACTAATTTTCAAGAAAATAAAACTTCTGTATTTCACTTAATTTGAGAGACGCGTAGCTGAATATTAACATACGTTCATTATTTAATTACTCGCAATAAATAAAATTTTTAGAAGTAAATAACGTGTAAATAAATTCATATGTAAAAATTTACCAATTGCCAGAAAGTAATTGTTCGTGCGTATTAAAATTCTTACAATAGGCAGTAAAACTATTCACACTCCCATATAAATTATAAATATGTAGATGTTAATGAAAGCGGTGTATGTATTCTCCCACATGTAGATTTGATAAACTATTTATGAAACTACATCTATTCTGAATTTATCTGTTACAAATATACAAATGTAAGGCAAGATATAAAAACGAATAAAACAAGAACATGTAAAAAGTAACATTAATAAAAATGTCCAATAATATGAACATAAGTAAGAATATGAACATCATAAATAAACGAGAGCGGTAGAGCGAACCGCGGTATCGGTGCTCTTTGCGGAATCGGTCATCTCTTATACTTTACAGCGAACGGATGGAAGAGAATCCGTTCACGACCATGGTCTCTTCGATGGTTTTCCGACGTACCGAACACTCATGATCTGACAACATTGCGTACTTTAGACTCAATAACACTCTAGAAGTTAGATTAGTTGAGCTCGAATGAATTTAACGTAGTTCACAAATTCACCGTTCTCATAACGTAGAGGGCAGCAGAAAATCCCTGACTTTTTACACTATCGGTATTTCAGAACATGAGACACGAAGTCCCATAAGATGATAGGTCTATCCTATACCTAATCGGTGCTATCTACATACATACAAATGTACAGTAGATGCTCGATAATTGTCGGTACGTTAATTGATCACGGGGCTCACCCCACGCCAACATATATTTCTCACACACGTGCGCACACCCCACTCTGTCGGCCAAAACGTCCAGGACGCAATAGATACGGTATCACGTTGAACTCGCATACTATTCATTACAGAAAGCGCGGTGTGATTAGAACAATCTAATGGAGATCATATAACTATTACGGCCCTATAATTTTCACTTTTCATGCATATACTTTCAATGTTACAATTATTTATATTTTGTACATCAAGATTAAGTAAAAAGAGTGCAAGAGTAATAAATTAATGAAGATTATAATTAGTTGTTCCTAAGAATCTAGGACTAAAAAATCAAGACATTTGAATTTTGAAAACTAGATATCGAAGACTAACAATAACGGCGCGGTAAAACATAATATCACACGCGGGAAACATGTGGAGACTTGTTTGTAGTTTTGCGCGTCAATTTTGAAGGTTGAAGTTTGTTACTAATTTATTGATTATTTTTAGATGTTCCGTTTTTATGTTTAATTTATCGTTGCTAAGTTTTGTAAATAATTTTATTAATACATTGATTATCGTTGAGTTTAGACGTATGTACTTTTATTTATAAACTGTTCGTCGCGTCCGCGTGGATTCTCTTTCGAATCCGCCTGGAGTTGTAAATTCCAGGCTCGACCGTCGTGCCGTCGTGGTACGCGTACAGTTGCGACTGTTGCCCGCCAAATTAATATTAGTCAACTGTTTCAATATTCTCTAAGTGAGAATAACCAATATAATTGCTCGACCGGTGGAGCTGACGATACCTACTTGTATGGAATTACAATATTTTCCTAACCTTGATCACTTGATACTCGACACAAAAGTTGATTATACAAGTCCCTTTATTCCTATATGTATATGTCCATGATAAATATGTACCTCAATAGTAATTCATTCATTCTAATTTTATGTACCATAATTTGTGCTTAATATGGCATTGTCTTAATTTTCAGGAACAGCCATAAAGTCTTCACATAAATTTTAAATTATACTTTCTGAAATTGTATAAAATATATTTTTATACTTTTACATTCTACATAAATGTAATCAAGAAAATGAACATTTATATAGATATTAAAGGATAATTATTCTGTTTTAATTATATGTAACAAATACAACACGTATCGTCAATTACTTAGAACAATGGAAATGAATAAAATTAATGACAGTTCTTCAAGAAATAGTGTGCATAAAGGAAGTGCTTCAAATGTTAAAGAAGGTACATATATGTAAACTGGTTGACACAATGCACAACTTCAAACAGCTACTTTTGACATTGCACCCTCATATTTGTTGTTTTTAATTTTATTTTCAATTTTTGTTTTATTACTTATGTTTGTAACAGTTCTGATGTATATTTATATAAGTTTCTTTCATAGCACATGCCTTGATCAAACATGAATGTCAATATTCGTACATTTATTATATTACTTCTTTGACATGTAATATTTAGACTAAATAAAATAATAAGAAATATGTGCTTCAGACTTGTCAGAGATACTTTGCAAACTTCAAGATTTCAAGCATTCACAGTTGACAATTGGAATGTTTTTCGAATTTATGAAAGTTGCGTATCAAGTCAGTGATAACTGTAAGAGCGTAACAACAATGTTTACAACAGATAATAAATTTGATTGGAATAAGTTAGCAAAAATTGATGTAAATTTTGAATCATCAAATCCTAACATGACTGATGAAAGGTGTATTGATAGTCGTGTTACACATGAAAATAAAAGTCCTGATGCACCAGAAGAACTATTACTCGAAACATATGATATTAATGTTCAGAATTTTGTAAATTCTGTTACATCTTCAAATGTGCAGACTGAACACCAACAAATCCGTAGTTACGGTAAAAATTTAACTAACACTGAGAATTGTAATGAAGTTATGGCATCTTTACCACATTTCGATGAGTCAAAGGTTGCTAAATCCATTGATACAGCAGAAAATATTTTAATAAGTGTAATGAAAACAAATTTAAGTGACATATTGCATGAAGGTCTATTAGATTCTGTATTACCATACATGATTCCAAAATCTACAATATCACAGCCTGTTATTAAAAAATCTATCGTGAACAGTGAAATAAAAAAATGTAATTCATTAAGCAACAGCACTGATACAAAGATACTTACAAATGTAACACATAAAGAAAAGGAGAAAGATAAAAGCAAATCAAGTAAAAGATCAATGGAGTAAGTTTATGAATTACGACTGTTCATTAAAATTAAACCTAACTATTAATAATTTTTTGCATCTATACAGAAATGAAGTGGAAATTCATGTTTGCGATGAAGAAAAAAATATTAAAAAAAATTTTCATTGCCCTCAGAAACTTCTTGTTCAAAAAATGCGTTATTTCGCTGATGTTACAGCAGGTCAAAAATTAGAAGAAATAGATATATCAGTTCATTGTGATATTGTAATATTCGATTGGTTAATGAAATGGGTTAAAAAGGATATGCTAAAGAAATCTGAGTGGCCAATTCTGGAACCAAGTAATGTCATTCCAATAATGGTGTCTGCATCCTTTTTACAAATGGAACCACTTTTAGAGAACTGCCTGCAGTATTGTCATGATAACATGTCTGATATACTAAAAACATCTACAATTCTAACTTGTTTAGATGACAATCTTCTTACAAGGTATTTTACTTGTCTAGCATATACTTCATGTACCTATTCATTAAAGGAAGAAACTGATATATTATTATGTATTTCCACATCTGAAGTTATCAATTCAATTATAGATTAGTAGAAAGATTTACAAATGAAGATGTGGAAGCATTGAAAGACAAGAAAGATAAAATCCAAAGTAAATTGTTCTGCAAATTGATTATATCATTAGCAGAAGTAATGCCAGACAATAGAAAAGGACATTATAGTTCGTTAGCAACATTGTTTAAATGCAGTAAATGCGGGAAAAGTATTATTCAATCTGTCTCTAATTATGTACCATGTATTGCAAATGCAATGGTAATTGATAATCACGGAAACATATACAGTAAACACGTACGGTACGACTATAAAATTCAAAACTGGTTTTATAATACTTATAATTACTATAAAACATATGTTATTCAGAGATTTATCGTGGACTCTAAATGATTATATTATTACTCTTCGAACGGAATTACGTTCATGGCGTAAAGTTTATTGGAGATTATGGGGTGATTGTCATTTTTTATTTTGTACTCAGTGTAATATATATTTTCCAATTCATCAAATCGATTGGTGCTGTTGTCATGCAGAACCTCCACAGTTTTTTATTAATGAACAGCAAAGACCCATGCCATTTCCTTTAGGCAGATATCCGTGTTGTAGTCAACGAGCATACAGATTTGAAGTATTACCAAATCGCGAAGGTTGTAGGTATAGGGTAGGTATTTTTAAATATTACTAATACAGTATTAGAACAGACAAAATTATTTCTTATTGTTGAGAGTATTAGAAATGGGAAATAATGAAAAGTTATCTTTTCATTTAGGAACATATTCCAGACTTAAAATCACACAAGGATACAAGAATATTGAATATTGTCTCAGTATATAGAGACGTAATAGCGATGGAACCACCACAATTATTTTTTCCAGAGAAAATTACGAGATTAGTAGCTTGTGATGCGTCTCTTCAACCAGGAAAATTAATGTGTAAAGATGTGATGTGGTGGGTTGGTATAGAACTTGCTCCACAACGGTCAAGGCTTGGGCTTCTAGGTGAATGCCTTAACATTTATTGGTATTAATATTTTTCGTTGAAAGTAATCTAGTTGTCCAATGTTTAGGAAAAATATGGAGTGGACCTGGACTACGACGGTCATCTCAATCGCAGGATTTACAAAAAACATCGCTAAAAATTCATCAGCAAGTTTCTCTTACAACTGATACTTCATCAATTACATCTTCAGCTACAGATAGTGACGAAGACGATGGTGTTACAGTCGATGAGGATTGTAGCATTGATGAAGAATCATATAATAGCGAAGAATCTCTAGCGTGGTCTACATTAAGATCAAAAAATAAAAATAAGAGAAAACCTAAAAACCGAATCATGTGGAAGTAACGAAATCATATCTTTTCAACAACTGTTAAACGAATTACGATTATTTAACAACTTCATTTTTTCAGAAACAATGGTCGATCTTGGAGTAGTGATTTAAGTGTGAGACATAATCAAGATAATCAGCGAGAGTTTGAAGAAAAAGCAGCTTCGCAGATGGTAACACTATTAACAAAAAGAGTATCTGCAGATTCTTCTTTATTAATAAAATCATCAAGTAAACACAGCCGTAAAAAAAACCAGTTGAATGGTACATGGTTATACTTAACATACTACGAATTAACACTATACTGTGTGTAGTGTATATCTGCCACACAGTGTAGTGTATACTAATCTTTTATTTAATACTGTTTGGAATAGGTGGTACTTATATAAGATTGGAGGCAGAATTTCGTGACCAATTAAATCAATGTTATAAAAACAAAACCATAGCTGGAAAGTATTTTCTACGTATAAAATCAACTAAATGACGAGCATATGGTATTTGTATAGTTACTGTAATGTCACGTATCAACCATATATTATATATTTATGCTAATTGTCAGAACATTAAACAAAAATAAATAAAAACATCAAATTAATGAGTTCGGCCGCAATCAAGTTCTGCACTAGGTGCCACTTTATCATTTCTTCTTCTTAAGGGAGTTTAGAACACCTTTAGGATCCTCCGATTTAAAATTTGTGTGTAGATCACTCCGATCTAATAATTTGTTAAGCTCAGCTTCTGTGAAAACTGTACTAAAGTTCAATCATTAAAATAGTATAAAAATTTATCACACTGAAAAGATATTAAAGCTTTGTTTCATGGTTTACCTTCATTTTCAGATGCGAGTACTTGACAATCTCTTGATTCTAAAAGACTTTGTAGTTCAATTAATGTTTTCATACTATTTATGTTGATTGATTCAGACTTTTTAGAAATTACTATCTTTTCGAGAACACGCTTTGCTTCTGCACGGTTGACAATTGCTTCATCAACAGTACATTTAATACATAATTTATATATAACTACCGGCTTTGTCTGACCTATTCTGTGGCAACGAGCCATAGTTTGTATATCCACTTGTGGATTCTATAAATACATTTAATTAATTTTAATAACATTTACAAATCATATATAAAAGTTAATATACCCAATCACTGTCATATATAATAACAGTATCTACCGCGGTAAGATTTAATCCGATATCTCCAGCTTTCGTAGACATGAGAAACAGCAATATATTACAGTCTGTATTAAATGCTTGAATATATCTTTTTCTGTTCTCAAGATTAGTAGAACCATCCAATCTGACGTACTTATAAGTACGCATTGAAAGATAATTTTCTATCATGTCCAATAAAGTTGTCATAGTTGAAAATAATAAAATTTTGTGACCTTGGCTTTTAAGTTTTGTAAACATTGCATCCAATACTAACAGTTTACCAGATGATTTAATTACATCTTCATCTATTAATGGTAAGCCAGACGAATCCAATGGGCAATGAACTAAATATGGATGATTCACAATTCTTTGGATACAGTAACCACAAAAAAAAAATAAATATAACAACTAAATACTTTAGTAGTATATATTTTCTATATATAGTTTTATTCGCAATTTACCCCTGTTTTGAACTTTTATGTTAATGAGAAAGTCTCGATTGTGCTCTTTGACATCAGTGTATTGTTTCCACATCAATAACTTCTTGTCATTCAAAGGTGTTGTACTACTTAGCGAGTTTTGCTCTGTGGAATTATTAGTTGTATTACTCAGATTTTTTAAGACACAACTCCTCTTTTTTCTTTTGCCATCTTCTGTGTATATGCTAGGTGGTTCATTTATTTTACTTAACAACTGTATATCACGATTTAATACTGCCTTATATAAATCGTGCTGGAGTTCTGTTAGAGAAGCATAAACAATCAATTCTTTCTTTGGTGGAATATCTGGGCAAACATCTAATTTTTCGCGTCTTAACATAAACGATTGTAATATTTCACACAAGGACGCTAAAATATGTTTCTCTTGTTCCAGTTTCAAAATTTTTTTAGTTCCTTCATCATACTGAAGTTCTTTCATAGACCATAATTCTGCTAAATTGTTTTGCAATGGTGTGCCTATTAGTAGAAGCTGATTCATGGATTTACAGCTCTTCAAAACACTGCAGTACAATAATAAATTCCATTATAATCAATACCTTCAAAAATTACATTAACTTGCTATGAATAAATCGAGTTCTTAATGTGAACTAAGATATATTTTAAACGCAAAAGAATAGTAAACCTACTTGATAAGTTGACATTGATGGTTTTTTATCCGATGTCCTTCATCAATTATTATATATTTCGAATGTTGAGACATAAGGAACGTTTGTCCATTAATAATATCTCAAATGTAATAAGCACAATTGGTTGTGTACTATAATTATTTGTGATCTTGAATTTTTGCGTAATCTGTTTTTGTGTAATTAATCGTTCATTTCGAGGACCATGAAGTGTCACGACTGGTAATTTTGGCGTAAATCTTTCAAATTCTAACATCCAATTCAATATTGTTGACAAAGGAGCAACTATTAAATAAGGCCCATGTTGCTTTCTTTCAAATAGGTGACATAAAAAAGCTATTGCTTGAATTGTTTTCCCAAGACCCATTTCATCAGCTAGAATACCATTTATACCATTCTCATGAAGGACTTTCAGCCATCAAAGTCCTTCTTTTTGATAATCTCGTAATACTCCATTAAAATATTCTGGTATATCTTCTATTTCATTGCTAAAATCATGAATTACTAGATTTTGAATATCTTGATTTAACTTTGGTTTATTCTTATTCATACGTATTTTTTGGTACCTGCAAAATGTAATAATAGAAAAATGAAAATTATAAAATAAATTATATAAAAATTATAATGTGTTATAATGTATGTCCCTACATCTTCGGATGTATAATTTTGTGTTTTGGCTTTCTTTATTTTTTTTTTCTGGTGGTGTATTTTCATCAGTAATATCAGTCTCTTTATACTTTTTTCTCTGAACTTTATTATTGCTTTTTTTTTCCATCCTATCATCAATTTTATTGATAACATGTGAAGCGAAAAATTTACTTTTATTTAATAAATGCTTCAATCGTTTGTACTATTGCCCTTGCACTTCATGCTGATATTGTTCTTCTGCTAATCGTTTAGCTTCAATTTCAGCTTCGTTTTTTTTTCCTTTTTTTCTCTGGTAGTACATCTGTTTTTAAAGAATATTGTTAAATTTTACATTTGTTGCTACACTGAATAAATTATCTGTCCCTACACAGAGAAGAGAAAAAAACATGGGAATAAGCATTTACTACATTTGCACCTTAATATCATTAAATATGATATTTATTTGGGGAATATGAACATCATAAATAAACGAGAGCGGTAGAGCGAGTTGCGGTATCGGTGCTCTCCGTCGGTGTCGACGCGTACCGAACGAGGCCAAAGATGGTCGGAGCGGGCGAAAGGGAGAGAGCGAGAGCGATACAGCGAGCCGCAGTATCGGTACTCTCCGTCGGTGTCGACGCGTACTGAGGAATTTCAGTGGTCTATGAGGGGAGGTGTGCGAGCGAGAGAGTACGGTAGAGCGTGCTGCGGTATCGGTGCTCTCCGTCGGTCCAACGCACTAGTGACGTTGCGTCACACAGTTTATTGACCTAGCCGGTATGCCGTGTACCATAGCCGTACCATCAGGTGTTTGGGTCGTTCAAGAAAGGTCGTTCAAGCCGGCAAAAACAATTCAACACGAACAAACGTGCGTACGCCCAATACATAACGGCGTTAGCTTCCTCACTTTCTCGTGAGCCGTCGCGTCCTGTCTCTTGTTCCTAACCCATTGTTTGTTGCAGGCATTCGACAACCATCAATTTATTTACTGTGCATATTATTAATTTATTTACTGTGCATATTGTTGTGTCTCCTCTCTTGTTACTAATCCCTTGTATGTTACAGATGTTCGAGAACCATTGGCTTCGATATTTATCTTCTTATGTACTGTGATTCATTTATTGTGATTTATTTACCGTGATTTCTATACTGTAATTCATTTACTGTGCATATTATGTATTCTATGTGTATTGTATAATGAAAAATTTTTTTCCAATCAGTTATTCCATCGAAAGAAGACATCGATCAACGTCTACATC